AGAGAGAGAGTAAGAGAGAGAGTAAGAGAGAGAGTAAGAGAGAGCAAGAGCGATATCCAAGCCGGCGCAAGCTCTCTCTTTTGCTGCTACAACGGATCCTTTCCACATCGACGCTACTGTTAACGTCACGCCTGTAAGCCGCGCGCTCACCCGGCGCTCGCCTTACCCCGGTCCTGCTCCTCTCCCCCCAGCCAGACGCTGCATCAGAGAGGGGGTGCTGATCACCACGAGGAGAGGAGGGAGAGAGAGAAAAAAAAAGAACTGGAGAAAACAAGAAGGAAAAAGAAACAAGCCGGAGAGAGAGGAAGGAGAAACTGCGCACCAACCCCTCCTCCCTCTAACCCAACCTCGATCAACCCAGCTACAACACCCCCCCTCCCCCCCGCCCCCCCCCCCCCCCTCTGAAGAAATTGACGGATTATTGGGAAGTGCAAGGGAGGCAGGCTGCAGCTGCTGCTGTGGGTGCTCACTACTGCTGCTGTGTGCTTCGTGGGGATGGTGTGTGTGTGCACGCGTTTGCTGCTTTCCGCCACTGCTGCTGAGGCTAGAGCGTGTGGCTAGTTAAGAGGAGGGGAGAAGAAGCTAATGAAGCCCGTGTGAGTCGCGGTATTATTTTCAACCCCCGCCGAGCACTCCTGGAGGAAGGAGAAAGAAAAAAAAAAAAAAAGAGAAAGAAAAATCAAGTGGACACGACGCCACATTGAAAGGGGGAGCAAAGGCAAAGAGAGAGCGAGAGAGAGAGAGACAGAACGGCTGTCAGACTGACCAACCGACCAACTGATTGACCACTAAAAAGTGAACAGAGGAATACAGAGAGGAGGGGGGTCTGCTTTTTTTTCTCTTCCCCTTGGCTTGTCAACCTCACCTCCAAACCATCGCAAAACTAAAAAGGCACAGAACATTTGAGAGGACTGTGGAATTTCCATTCAACCTTCTTCAATCCTCCCCCCCCCCCCAACCTACATCCCTCTTTTCTTGGTCCTTTTCCGTCTTGGCTTTTTTGGTGCACAAAAACAAAATTGCGCCTGTGTTTTGCGTTGTCGCCTGTGCTATGGAGACCTGGGTAAAGTGTCTAGCAGGGGGATCAACTGTCGGATTCCAAGGACAAGCGAGAGAAGAGGAGCCGACAGCGAGAAGCGAGCAAGGGAGCACTGCTGCTTTCGGAGCCTGACTGGATTCCTAGCTGCAGTTTTTTTTTTTCTTCTTTTTTTTCTTCTCAACAACAAACAAAGGGAGGGGAAAAAAAAAAAACTCACAAAAGGGCCTTTTCGAACCTCTCTCTTTGGACGTGTGGATTTACAAAAGGGCTCGTCGTGGTTAAGCTCTTTGGCATTGGTACCCTTTTTGACAGAGCAAACATAAAAAAGGCTTTATTTGCTGCTCTTGGGATATACATACACCTGGTGTGAATACCACTGCTCTTTCTGATTGCAAACAGGAGGGAAACTATATATCACAGTTCAAGGACCTGTAATAATAACTTGAGGTAGGTGTCTAGTGTTTCAACCCCTCTTTGCATCGATTTGTAACCCTCCCTTCTGTCTTGTAATACGGCTTTTTGGTTGGTTAATTTATCATCATGTCTTACTCATACACACGTTTCAGAAAAGCCAGCCCTCTCTGCCGTCCCTCCTTCTACCCATGAGCACAGTTAAAAACATTGCTTCATCGAGGATAGGTCAAGCCCCAAAATCCACATCCTCCCCTTGGTCCTCTTCAGTTCCCTTGACTTCTTTGCTCTGGTCACCGTAAACACTACAACCAGCCAACCAGCTACTTTCTCTGATCCCCCAAAGCCCCCCCCCCAACCACCACCCCAAACATCCCCACCCCCCCCCCCCCCCCAGATGATGCTGAATTATGAACGTGCCACATCATGAGTCTCCTGGGGCGGGTAGCTGTGCATCGTGCCAGGAAAGCCGCCCTACTCTGTGTAGTCTTCCTGATGGCGCAAGCGTGGAGCAGTGCCTCCCCGGCCTTGGCGGGGGCGGCGGTGTCTCCGGGACCCCAGGGCTGTCCACTGCAATGTTCCTGTAGTAATCAGCAGGGGAAGGTGGTGTGCACTCGACGTGGCCTCACCCGCGTGCCCCCCGGCATTCCTGCAAACACGCGACATCTCAATCTGATGGAAAACGCCATCGAGGCGGTGCAGGCTGACTCCTTCCGCCACCTGCACCACCTTGAGGTGCTCCAGCTGGGGCGAAATGCCATACGGCAGATTGAGGTGGGCGCGTTTAATGGACTCACCAGCCTCAACACACTGGAGCTGTTTGACAACCGGTTGACGGTGGTGCCCAGTGGGGCCTTTGAGTACCTGTCCAAACTAAGAGAACTGTGGCTGAGGAACAACCCCATTGAAAGTATCCCCTCCTACGCCTTCAACCGGGTGCCCTCCCTCATGCGACTGGACTTGGGAGAGTTACGGAAACTGGAGTACATCTCTGAAGGAGCTTTTGAGGGCCTACAAAACCTCAAGTACCTCAATCTGGGCATGTGCAACATAAGGGGTGATATGCCAAACCTAAGTCCCCTCAAGGGCCTGGAGGAGCTGGAGATCTCTGAAAATCACTTCCCAGAGATAAAGCCAGGATCTTTCAAAGGCCTGCGCTCACTGAAAAAGCTATGGGTGATGAACTCTCAAATCACAGTGATAGAGCGCAACGGTTTCGATGACCTATCTTCATTGGTGGAGCTTAATCTGGCCCATAACAACCTGAGCGCTGTGCCACATGATCTGTTCTCCCCGCTCAGGTACCTGGTGGAGCTCCATCTCCACCATAACCCTTGGAACTGTGGCTGTGAGGCTGTATGGTTAGCCCGCTGGCTAAGGGAGTACATCCCTACTAACTCAACTTGCTGTGGACGTTGTCACTCACCTGTCAGCATGAGAGGGCGACAGCTGGTTGAGGTGGCCCGAGGAGAGGGTGCTGCAACCCAATGTTCTGCACCATTCATTGCCGATGCACCAAGGGACCTGAACATTTCAGCAGGGAGGGTGGCTGAGATTCGTTGCCGCACGGCCTCAATGTCTTCAGTGCGCTGGCTCCTGCCCAATGGGACTATCCTGACACATGCCTCCAGTCACCCGAGAATATCAATCCTGAATGACGGTGCCCTTAATTTCTCAAATGTCTTGGCTGTAGACACGGGCACTTATACCTGCATGGTGTCCAATGCAGCGGGGAACTCCAACGCCTCGGCCTACCTCAATGTGAGTGCAGCCGAGCTCAACACGTCCAACTTGAGTTACTTCACTACAGTGACAGTGGAGGTCTTGGGGCCAACCACTGAGATGCCCAAACCAAGAACCACCTCAACTACAGCAGCAGGGGCTGGGGGGGCTGGAGGAGGAGGGGTAGGCCTAGGGACAACGACTACAACGGCCTCCCCTTCTGTCTTTCAGCCGGTCTTCATCTCCACACCGACTGTGCTGCTGCAAAGCACCAACAGCCCTGCAGGTGCAGCCAAGACATCTGTGGCGCCAGGACTCCAAGGTGCCACTGGCAAACCAGGGAGGTCTGGCCCTAGCCTGGATGAAGTGATGAAGACCACTAAGATCATAATTGGTTGCTTTGTAGCAGTGACACTGATGGCTGCGGTCATGCTCATCGCCTTCTACAAGTTGAGAAAGCGCCACCAGCAGAGGAGCACAGTGGCGGCTGCTCGCACTGTGGAGATTATCCAGGTGGACGAGGAAGACCTTCCTCCACCGGCGTCTGCGGCTCAAGAGACGGCGCTCACGTTGCCTGAAATCCGGGACCACAACAGCATACACAAACTGGACTTTATCAGCCACAAGACTGACTATAGCTTTCACAAACCCAAGGTTGAATACAGACCCCAGCCTGACTTCACCCTTCATAAGCCGAAGGCCGAGTATACCACATACAAGCCAAATATGGACTACAGTGGCCACAAATACATCCCAGATTACAACACTCACAAATCGACACCAGATTTTAGCCTTCATAGACCAAAGCCTGACTATAGCCCATTTAGGCCGGACTACAGCACTCACAAACCTAAAGCAGAGTACAGCCAATTCAAACCAGATTTTGGCACTAACCCAAAAATAAAACCAGACTACAGCCCGTTCAAACCAGACTATGGCACTCATCCGAGGCAGAAAACGGACCTCAGCCCATTTAAACGAGATTACAGCACCCAACCAAAACCTAAACATGACTACAGCCCATTAAAACCGGACTACAACACACAGCATAAACCTAAGGCTGAATACAGTCCATTCAAGCCAGACTTTGGCACTCATCCAAGACCTAAACCTGAATACAGCCCATTTAAGCCTGACTACAGCACTCAACCCAAACCCAAAACAGACTACAATGCCCAGAGATCGAAAACGGACAGTACCTACAAACCCAGGGACCCTTACTCCTCCCACGTGACTGGAACAGATTACAGCGCCTTCAATCCCGACTTCAGTCCCCACAAAGCGGATTACAGCGCCTTCAAGTCCGACTTCAGTCCACACACTCAGAGACCTAAACTTGATTACAGCCCCCATAAAGCGGACTACAGCCCCCATAAAATGGACTACAGCACTACGAAGCCTAAATATAACACCTATAAACCGACCGGCCATGGGGCTAAATGGACAGACAACAATGTTGGGAACTCTTTGCCTCGAACCTTGCCCAGCACCATCACAGCAATGGCTGAGCCCTTTGTCATAAAAACTCACACCAAGGAGAAAGTGCAGGAGACTCAGATTTAAAAAGACCCCCCCCCAAAAGGCTCCCACTCCTTCCCCTAGGTTCCTACCTCCCACTCACCCCTTTTCCCTTCGCCATTTCCTCATAAACTCATGCAATAGAATGCACAACGAAAAAAAGGACAGCAACTACTTTTTTGTACAGAGTGCAAACCTAAAAAGACTGATGATTTCTTGTTGTACATGCTTATAAATAAATATATATATGGACAAATTGAAACTACCATGGGCTGGTGATAGAGAAACATATATTAAAAAGAAATTGAAACTATTTTCTAACTTGTAACTTCTATTTAAAACAATGAGTTGTTTAAGATGCTGTCTTGACTTTGACAAATGAGGGTAGTGTCGTTTTAAAAAGGGGGCATTCTGTGTGATTTTTACACCATGCTACAGAGAATGCAGTGATGAGAAGAAAAAAAAATATTTATACCGAGAAGACTTTCTTTAACAAAAAACCCGAAAAAAGGTCAGTGTCGATCTTTACAGGTTTATCTTGTAAAAGCACCAAGAATTTGTACTGTGCCAAATGTTAAATGCAATAAAAAGGATTTTTGGAAGAAAAAAAAAAAAAAAAAAAGAAGTTATTAGAGAGAGATGTTTTTTTCCTTCATTTCTTCTCCTGGTGTATACTGTAGTGATCAGCCAAATGCTTTAGACACTGCAGCAAGACTCTGCAGCTATACTTTAACCCTGCGAGTGCTGAATGACTCACAATGCAGAAGTGGATGGCGTTTGTTTTTTTAATCTCTCTCAACACCTATTATCATATTCTTTATATGCAACAAAAGAGCGCGTTCCGTTTCTATGTTACACCAATGAGTGTCACGGTGCTTCATCAAGGTGTGGCTAAAGAAAAAGTGTCTTTTCTCTTAAGTTCTATGATGTTAAAAGATGAAGCAATGGTGTGTCCACAGACAAGTACAGCAGCGCTACTCGAACATCTAATGTTAACTGAAATGCTCATTACATAATGCTGTTCAACGATGCAAACCGATTGTGTTACCTGTTTCTATCCGACACTACAAAGTGGTATTATCAATCATGTAACTAATGAGTGAAAACCGTGATAAATGAAGGTGAAGTACTGTTCGGGTGTTAAGACTGTCTTGCACTTTGCCAAAAAATATAGATCCTCATTTCACTTTCCATTGCATTGCCAGCTGTTGTGCCTTCATCAATCAGTACGGGGGCCTTTTTATGGTGACAAATGCATTTGGGTCTTGCTGTTAACTGCATTTTTCTTCTTCAAGAATATCACCCCTCTCAATCATAATACAGCAAGACGACGCTCTGCCTGACAAAGAAGGATGGCGTGCAACACACAGGGTGGTTAGTACGCACGTATTAGACGGGTGAGCCGGTTGGTTTTTCGGAAACCACGGCGAGACAAAGCTGTGTTTGTGGCGACTGTAACTGTTTACTGTTGTTAGGGCTAAAAAACAAGATTGACTGACAGAAAAACATAAAATAAAAGGTGATGTGAACTACCATGGGAGCACATATCAGTTAAAAACAGAACAACATGTTGTGAGTGGGCAAACATGTGGGTGAGGGATGACAACGAATACTTTTGCAAGCTGTGTGGACCATAATCATCACATCCAACACAGATACTACCTTCTCAGTAAGCCTTATGAAGCTGTACAATTTTAAAGTAAATCAACATGAATTTAAAAAAACGCAAGAAGTAGCCTCTAGAGATGTGTGACATTATCAGATCTACAGTCTTTAGTTGACCGCACCAGTTCACGTAGCAGACAAGACATGGTGCAAAAAGAGAGCTCGTTAGAGAGAGTACCTGAGAGAGAGCCACAAGAACAATATTAGGGTTTTAACATTGGCGATGGAGAAACTGAAGAAAGACAATGTTTCAATATGAGAGAGGTCGACACGGCACATCACAAAAATAGCGCAGCCGTTAAACTGAGAGCTTGTGATGTACTTAACCTGTAGTAGAGGCTGTCAGAAGAGGAGAATGATGTGTATGTGTTTGTGGGGGCAGCAGTCCAGCAGAAAAGAGGGAGTGTGTGAGATAGATAGAGTAAGAGATGGAGGCTGAAGAGGACAGCTGAAGAGGGCGAGAGAGCATTTCGCGTAAGGGTTTTGGTTTGTTTTTTTTACATTTAGTTGTTGGCTTGGAAACGCAGGACATGTTGTGGCATTTGTTGTAAATGTGTAATTTAAATATCATCTAACATTGTGCTGCATGATGAGGCCGGGATGGATACGATGATCCCAATGAGGAGAGATGACGTTTGGGAGTAAGAATAAATAAAAATGGGTGCCAAAAGTGTGCAGTGCAGCAGAAAAATATATTGCTTGGAGAAGAAAATGGGATCATATCAAAAAAGGAGAGCACAGAATGTTCTTCTTGAAAACATATTAAGAGGATGTTTGGGATCTCAGGGGCCAAGGAGATCTGGCAGACAGACTGAAGAAAAGTTAAAATGTCTATTCCCTAATAACCAGCAACACAACAGTTTCAGGTCCAGCTATAGGTGTGGTCCAGCTATAGGTGTGGTTACATACAGAGTGGTCACAGCTGCATCAGTGTTTTGTCATGATCCCAAAGAGAGGATTTTATTTTCCTCTACCAACCATCATCAAACTGGGGTGAAAATAAGCTGCTGCAGTGAACACAGGGCTGTCAAAATCAGACCAGATCACCTACAGCTCTCCTCTGCCCACGATGTCTGTTGATGACTCAGCCTGCATTTTAGATATTGACCAACTTTCTGCAGGTGCAAGAATGAGCCAAATAGATCAGACGTGTGTGTCCATGTAAACGTGTCTATTGCCCCAGCTGTGTGTTGTGTGTTTGGTGACATCTAACAGGGAGCAAGGAAACAATAAGAGCTGCCCAGTGACATCAAACGTGGAAAAAGGAATGGAGAGAGAGAGAGAGCAGGATGATATATCTAAACTTAACATTAAACCAGACGCAAACACACCCATTTCATACACGGACACACTTTCATACTGACAGTTTGTCCCTGTGCCGACTCATCCGTCACATCCTCTCCCACTCCTGTGGTTGACTTCTAATCGTTTGTAATATCAAAGCTACGCAAAGCCAAAGCAGCAGGTTTTCCTAATCGTCTCTAATGTGAAACATGCGAGAGGGAAGTTTAAACACCAACAATGGATCAGGGTGTTGCATCTCGATGGACAGTGTAAATGGGTTAGATGGATTGTGAGCAGTTGTGTGAACAGATGCAAGCACTGTATCAAGCATTAAGCCGTGTGTGTGCGCCTCAGTATGCTATAGCAGGGGCTTATGCCACACCATATTGTTTAATGCCGTGCTATGTGGTCACATATTAAGCTGCACTGTGCTATAAAAAGGCTCCGTCATACTAATCTGCCAACACGGCTACAGGGTCATCAATCAGCCAATCAGCCACCGAAGGGCTCGTCTCCATGGGAAACACTCGCTCCCTCCGTCCCCTCCTCCTCCGAGTCATTCTCTCCCTCTTTCTTCCTTTCCGTCTGTGTGCTTCATTAGCAATCATGAAGCCATTTGAAAGAGGAAGCAAGGCAAGATGCACCTATTTACCCACAGCTCACAGAGCCAGGGGGAGATTAGAGTCAGAGGAGGAAGAAGACAAAGTGGTTTGGAAATGGAGACGGAGGAAAGAACATTTAAATAGGAAGGGAGGGCATGACAGATTGCTCGAGAGAAGTTATGAGGGGAGCGAGCGAAAGTGAGAAATTTAGCCAAAAAGCAGAAAGCAGGGTTAGAAAAAGGGAGCGGGTCTAAGAAGCAGAGCGCAGACAGCCTCGGGAAAACACGATATACACAGAGAAATACTGCGAGGCTGGATGAGGTGATTGATTGTACATCACAGCACTACTGGGAGACTAAAAGAAATAGACATGAGAAGGAGACGTGAGAGGTGAAGGGAAAGGGTACCGAGGGAGAATCAGGACACAGGGATAGGATATAGGGAAGGAAAAACAGACGGCAAGGTAATATAAAGGACATAATAGTAAGATTTGATTAAAATGAAAATGAGAGGAAAAAGAGGTGGTGGAGCGACGATAAGAGGGGAAAGCAAAGCAGCAAGCGAGGGAGAGAGAGAGCAAAGGTACTCTGGGAAAGGAGCACGCAGAGCAAATGTGATGCAAGAGTGCCAGCTACAGATGGAACGGGGGATATGTAGTGCGGCCATCGCAGCCAAGGGCCCGGACTGCACCACACGGAGGGGGGGGGGGTGTCATTTTAATCAAATCT